GGTCCTGGCAGTGCCATTATGGACAGGGAACGGTCCTGGCAGTGCCATTATGGACAGGGAACGGTCCTGGCAGTGCCATTATGGACAGGGAACGGTCCTGGCAGTGCCATTATGGAAACAGACAGGCCCTGGCAGCGCCGCTATGGACAAAGACAAGTACTGGGAGCACCATTAGGGGCAGGGACATGCCCTGGCAGTGCCCTTATGGGACAGGGCCTGGCTGCACCCCAGCGCCAGCAGTGCTGGGTGTGGGGGTCCCAGAGCAGGGAGTGGGATGCTCAGGGAGGAAGGGCAGTGCCACGTTCTTGCCTGGGACACCCAGAGCGAGCAGAGAACAGGCAGTGCCGTCCCATTCCATCCCGTGCCATTCCCATCCCACCCCACCCGCATCCCAAGCCCTTCCCCATCCCACGCCCACTCCAAGCCATCCCCGTCCCCGTCCCGTTCCCACCTCTCCGCGGCACGGCTGCACAGCGCATCCCAGCGCTCCTTGAGCTCCCCCAGCAGCTCCTCCAGCGGCTGCAGGTCCTGGGGGAGCCGGGCCCCCTCCCGCAGTGCCCGCCCGCTCCGCAGGGTCGCCTCGTACACCGGACGCTTCGCCCGCAGCACCTTCTGGAACGCCTGGGGGGCCACGGGCGGGTGCTGAGTCCCCCAGCTCGGGGAGGCTCCCCCTGCTCCCCCAGTGCTGCGGGGGGTTGGGGTGCCGACATCCCTCAGCCCTCCCGGGTCTCCTCACTTCCCAGAATAGCCCTGGGAAGGTGTCCGACCCCCCCGCCCCCCCCATCTCCCTCCAGAGCACTCGGGATCCCCCCTCTGGAGCCCCCAGCCCCCCAGCTCTGCTCCCCACAGCCCTCCTGGGAGCCCTTTGTGCCTGGGAGCAGGGCGGCCTCACCTTGTGCTCAGCCAGCTGGCACTTGATCTCCTCCTGGCTGGTGGGAGCGTCCTGCGGCTCCTCCAGGCTCTGCTCCACCTCGTCCATCCAGTCCAGGAGCAGCCGCCGGGACTCGCTGAACTGCAAGGAGGGATGGTTTGGGGAGGGCTGCGGGGGGGCTGCGGGGGCAAAGCATGGCCGGGGCAACCCAGGCAGGAGCCACGGAGCCACACGAGGGAGTGGCACAGCCCTGGCACCGCTTCGGGGCAAACCATGGGCCAGCACAGCACGGTGACAGCACCAGAGCCTGCTCCCAGCAGGACCTGTGTCATGGAATCATCAGACCCAGGATGGTTTGGGTTGGTAGGACCTTAAAGCTTATCCAGTGCCACCCCTGGCCATGGGCAGGGACACCTCCCACTAGCCCAGGTTGCTCCAAGCCCCGTTCAACCTGGCCTTGGACACTTGCAGGGATGGGGCAGCCACAGCTTCTCTGGGCAACCTGTGCCAGGGCCTTCCCACCCTCGCAGCCAAGGATTCCCTCCCAGTATCCCATCTAACCCTGCCCTCTGGCAGTGGGAAGCCATTCCCCCTTGTCCTGGCACTCCAGGCCCTTGTCCAAAGCAAACCGAGGGGCAGAGCCCCCTCCCCAACCCCTGAGGGCAGCGGGCCACGTTCACAGTACCTGTTTGCTGCGCTTTCGTGCCTCCTCCAGCGCTGCCCCCCTCTCAGCTGCCCTCTGCAGCACCTTGCCCAGGCGCTCCCGCGCCGCCAGCACCAGGTTCTGGATGACGGCCCCGTCCTGCTTCCTGCTGAAATCCTTCAGGCGCGCGGCCACGGCCTCCAGCCCGCCCAGCTTCTCCCCGTGGGCGTTCGCCTCCTTCACCAGGGCCTGCGGGGAGGGGCAGCTGTGGGTGGGTGGTCCTGGGGCAGGTGGGGAGCCCCTGGGAACAGCCGATGCCGGGATGGGACACGGAGCCCCCCGGCACAGATGGGACACGGAGCCCCCCGGCACAG